AGGTTAGTGATAATGAAGATAAACTCCAACATTAATTATTCACATTTATTTAGTGTTTCATAGATTTAAAATGTACTTTTCTCACAAAACCCCTGTGAAATACAATCAGGGGTGAGCTGGAGCCAGCTCAAATCAGAGATGATTGTTAATTTTTTAATGTAAGCATTTGTACCCCTAAAATCAACAAATGCTACAAATAAAGTCTTTTTAAAAATTGTTTAGAATTAAGAAAGTGATGGAGAAAATGTTAATAATGCAGATTAAACTAAATAATATGTGTGTGTGTGTGTGCTTATTTTTGGGATAACCAGTTGTTAAACATTTACCTGAATGTTCCTGTACAAGTATTAGTTGAGTGAGGCAAGTATTATCTTCCCATTTTATAGAGGAGGTTGAAAGTGGCAAAGTCAAGTCTTTTTGACTACAAATCCAATGATCTTTCTACTTATGCTATGCTGATTATGCTTTAAGAAAAATGATTCAAAGGATAAAGAGTCAAAACACAGCTACCTTTCCTCTAAACTGATGTGTCAAGTGGTCAGCAAAACTCCTAAGTGCTGTGAACTTAGTGCTGTGAATTAAAATGTAACTGGGAAATGTTTAACAAAATAAATAAAAATACAAGATAGATTATATCAATTTGTGGTTTTCTAAATCATTTTGCTGCTGGCAAGGATCCATTTCTATTTGAGTCTGATAGCACTATTCTAGTTGATCAGTTAGAGAACATGACAAAAGGTTCTGCTACCCAGCTAGATTCACACCATTACTAGCACTACTGTATTGAAGTACCAACAAGCTTTCAACCTGCAGCCTCCAACAGCAGGTCAGTGGGCAAATAGCTATAGCAATGTCAAACTAGTTGAGAAATTGTGAGACTATATACATTTCAAAGTGCTATTATAATTTTAAGATAAACAATTAAGCACAAACATTTGGTGGTGAGTGACCTTATCTGAGAATGTAGATAACACTCCACGGAATATGTTTCATTGTCTCTTGTTCAACTTTTGTTTTACTGATTTTTCCAATCTATACTGCAGTGGTCATTGCATATGTTGTTCTCTTGATTCTGCTTATTTCTCTCTGCATCAGTTCATAAAAATCCGTTTCTCTGAATTCCTCATCTTTGTTATTTCTTGCTATACAATAATATTCTATTACATTCATATAGCAAAGTTCTTTTTTCCAGCCATTCCACAAGAAAAGGGCACCTGCTTTTGCCCAGTTCTTTTGTTGTCACCTTTAAGAAATGTTGCTATTAATGTTAATATCTGAGGTGTTCCAAAAGTCTCGGTGTGGTTCTAAACTATTACCTAGTTCCCTTGTAATTTACATTTGCCCTATTTTTTTTCATTTTTCTAATAGTCAAATCAACAAGCATATAAACTAGTAGTTTGTAACTGCATTAAGAATTTTAGTATCTTGGACCTTTGTTTCTGTCTCTGATTTAGAATGCTTCCTTAGTAGTAGGATGAATAGGTCAAAACGCATAGAGTGACAGTCTAGTTACTTTTCTTGCATAACTCAAAATGAAATGCAGTATCTTTGGACTACTTCACAGCTCTACCAAAAGTGCATCAATGTGCTTGTATTCTCACTACTCCTCTAACACAAATTATTTCCATCTTTTATGTAGCGTTCATCAATTTTTGCATGGTATAAGGGGAAACTAAAGAGCTGTTCCTCTCCATTTCTCTTACTAATAATAGTGATTTTGAAGATGTTTTCATTTACATTGCAATTCTTTTTCTAAGGACTGGTCATTCATATCCTTTGACAAATAATCTATTAAGGAATACCTCTTGGAGTTACTAATATTCCTAAGTAGGGATGATTTTATTCTTTGTATTAGTAGTATCCTGTACACTCAGCATAACACCTGGCACACAGTAGGAACTTAATAAATACTTGTCAGTTGATTAACCAGACATTTATCAATGTTTTTTTATGAAAATATTTCCCCACCACACTATTCCTTTTAATTCTGCCTTCGTTAATTTTAGTGATATAAAAAAGAACTTTTAAAAGGTATATTTAACATTAGCAATTTTATCTTTTATGCTGTCATCTATTCTTTGTATAGGCACAGTTGTGAAAATTACCTAATCTTGTTGTCTTATAATTTTATTCAAAAGCAAGTCATATATCGATTTTCAGGTTACTGTGTCATACCGCATTAGAAGTTAGGTTTACTAAGTTTTTGCCAAACTTCTTTCCAGTTTTCCAAAACATTCTTATCAAAAAAGTTCAGCTTTAACAAACACAAGACTAGTGTTTTATACTGCTTTGGTTTATGGCTCATTTAGTCTTTTTCACTGATCTCTTTTTTCTATTTTATAACTAGTACCAGAAAGTTTTGATGGCTACCTCTGTATAATATTGTTAGAAGTTTGGTGATGCTCCTTTATTCTTACTTTTTTTTTTCATTATTTCTCTGAAAGACTATGGACCTTTTGTACTTCATGAATTTTGTTACTTTTTTTTTTCTGCTTCTAAGAATTGTCCCCTGAGGAATTTGACTGGCAAAGCACCAAATCTATAAATTAATAGGTTGTAATGTTTTTAATTATATTGGTATAACCAACCCATGAGGGATTATCTTCCAATTACTTAGGTATGCCTTTATTTCCATAAAAGGCAATTTCATGGTTTTGCATACTTTATATTTACATAGTTTTAGAATATTCATATATGTATATAGTAATATTAATTTACATATATGGAATTTCTCTTATCATTTCTCCCCCTTTTCTCTGTAAGTATATGCTTGTAGATTCTATAGTATGCTTGAGAGTCATGTATACTTGAGTCTGAATCCTTCTTCAGACAAACTAGACTGTGTGGCCTGGCCATATAACTTAAATCCCTCTCAGTTTATGTTTACTGATCTGTAAAATTAGGGTTACAATAGCACCAATCTGACACAGTCAGGAGAATCTGATGAAACAATGTATGCAAAGTGATTTGTGGAACTTAAAGTGCTATATAAATGCTTATTATTATAATCTCTATATTTGCACTGAGATAAAATTAGTTTTAATCCTTTGACACCTAACTTCATCTTTGTAGGACTAATTCTAGTATAGGGGGGCATACTAACCCAAAAATATAAAGGCAAAAATGATAATAAGAAAAATTTTATCCAAAATAAATACTAACTGCCTAAAATCTCTGGGAATTAACCTACTAAAACACACAAGATTTAGATAAACATAACTACAAAACATTCTTTTAATGAAATAAAAGACATATAATTAGAAATAAACACTCTTAAGAATTCTGTTTAGATTACTTTTCCTTTTGCTTTGCATCCTTTGTTCCACATTTCAAATGAAAAATAGATTTTGTACAGAATCTAAACATTAGTAAATAACCAAGGCAAATTTTGATCACAAGAGTCACACTTAAGCCTAGATGGAATGAAAACTCTTCCTCTCCAATTTTTACAAGTTTATTCCATTAAACTGACACCTTAATTCCTATCAGCAATTGTTCAGAGAAGGAAATTGGGGTTCTAGTTCCTATTCCTACTACTTTAAGATGATTCTTCTTCTGTCCCATTCTAGGCCTGAGAGAATTGTTAACATATATAAAAACTGACTTTACTTACATTTGTGTGCATCTTTTTAGTTAAAACACTTTATTACAATAGATTTTTAACCAGATATTAAGAATAAGAAAAAAAAATCAAAGGGGAGGGTAATTAAATCATAAATTACATAATATACTCGGTCTACTTTGTAAGTTACTTCCAAGCCAAAGAAGCCAGAAAAAATATTTTTTAAATTCCTCTCCAAAACACCATCAAAATATTATGACAACCAGGGTATCCTGAAGTATGCAATACAAACAAATCTCCATCTTGTATTATATTCCCTGAAGAAGAGCAAACAAGACAGTTTCTTTCTATTTAAATAAATCTTCAACTCTTAATTATCTACCACAGTTATCTTGAGGTTCTACCAAGGCTAAGAGCTCACTAATGAGGTTAAAAGATTGTTAACAGAAAAAGTATTTTAAAGCAAAACCTGATCTTCTGTAATTGACTTATAAATTGAATACTGTGGCTATTCAATAAGAAAGTAAAAGAAAGGAGGGGTAGGGCTTCCAAATTACATTCAGACATATGGAGTTTATAAAAAAAAAAGTCTTTTAAAAATGTCACTCAATCTCCTTAACTTATAAAGTAGAAACAAACTGAAAATGAAGAGAGGCCCTGTGGAACAATGTGTGTACAATTGTACTAAAAGATAAAACTATCTATCCCAGGCACTGAGTAAGATTCATGAAGGAGTTGAAAAGGATTTAGGAATAGAAAACTGGACATTTTTCCAGCTCTTCCCCAGTTGGGATTACATAGTATAGTTTCAATATTTTGTTGGAAATCAAGTTAACTGCAGCACCATCATTATTAACCAAAGAACAAAAAAGTATCCCAAAACCTTAATCATTTTCTGTGATCTATTCTTGGGGATCACTTGTATTACTATTTTATTTCTATTAGAAATGAAAATTAAGAGCCGACTATTCATAATACGTATAATTAAAAAAACTTTTTTGGTATACTTGTATAATATTTTTGGCCTCTATATTATTTTCTGAGCAACATTCATATTTATTAAAGGCAAAAAATTAGAAATCAAGGTTCTCTTTATGAATGCTTTTCTACATAAATTCTGAGTAGGCTTCTGTAAAGGACATACAAATTGGCATTCCTTAACGATGTGGGGAAAAAAACACAAGTTTTTACTTAAAAAGTAAAAACTTACAACTAAAATTTGGATATTGGCACAGCACTAACTTAACACTTCCGAATAAACTATGAAGACAGCATGAGAGTTCACATACGTTAAAATGTTTATTTTCATTACTTTATCAAATTCCCATACCTCCCCCTAATAATTAACTTTATAGAGTTTACTGATTAAGCAAAATTTGAAAGCAGGAAGATTAAAAAGTGATAAGGGGAATGCAGAAATTAGCAGAGGTAGCACTACCTGAAAGCTCATCAGAAAGGGGAGTGAGAACAATATCAGGCAAGAAGGGTTTGGAAGTATGGATCAGAACAGGAGCACTTTTAGCACTGCGTATATAGGCCGATGGCAGAGCACATTCACCAATGGATCGGCTTCTCATGGCTTAAAAAAAAAAGGAAAAGAAAGAAGTGGGGAGGGAATAAAGAAGAGTGACTATAATGAAAGGCTTGTGTCACAGAAAAAGCAGAAACAGAGAAAACTAAAAGGTACAAAGGAAGAAAACTTCAAATTAAAACATTTCAGCATGACAAATATTGGCAAGGCTGTAAGGGAAAAAAATCAGTGGACACATAAAAACAATATTTTAGATTTAAATTTTGTATGTAAAGAAGGAACAATGATTTTCATCACAGCAGTTACAATAATGTTGCAGTAAAAACAACAAATAATTAAAATAACAATATTTTCACAGCAACATAGTTTGAAAAATCATTAAGTTCACCAAACAGATGCTCTGAAAACATCTCAGTATGTTTTTTTTTTTCAAATAAGAACAAGTTTTTTGTATCATTATAGGCTACTTCTCTGGAAAGCAACATATAATCAATTCTCCAGCAGAATTCTCTTACAATTAAACTTATTCCCCAAGAAATAAAGAAAATAAGAATTACTTCCCTACCCCCCAACCTTTGTATACCAGAATAAAAAACGCCAATTTTCCATTTTTAATGTTTGTTCCCAGCAGGATAAGATGTCTTGATTAGTTTCTTAAGATGTCTTAGTTTAATGATTCATATTAAAGATAAAGAAGATATTTTGTAACAACAAAATAAAGGTTTAGAGCACAAGAAAACCATTTCACAGACTATCAGAATGCTTGAAAGGACCCAAAAGTTCATACTGTAAACAAGTCCAATTCTCTAATTTCATAGATGAAGAAACCAAAGCTACTAGGGATTAAATTTTTACTTGCCCAGGATATAAATTAACAGGTTCAACAGGCTATAATTAACAGTGAATGACAGGCTGTAATCATATGTTTTTGAAAAATAAAAGGTGGACTAATTTCTCCAACTATACTTGTTTCAAGATATTTATTAATTTTTTCAGATAAATGATAATTTCAAAATGAAAAAATAGCACTTTTTATCTACATAGCAATTTATGATTTACAAATTGCTTGCCTCACAAAAATCTAGTGAGGTATAAATACTACCCTTATTTACAGATGAGGAAACATATTCAAGAGAGGTAAAATGATTGACCCCTGGTCACACTATTAAATGTTAGAGATAAGATTAGAACCCTCTAGGCATCCTGAGTCCTAGCCAGCAGTTTCTGTATTGGCGGAAAAAAATCACTTTTAGTTCTATTCATAAATTTTATTTGGAGGTTTAAAAGTTTTTCCTATGATTAAATTTTTTAGTCAAATTTTATAGTCTATAGATGAATTATTTTCTTTATATTGTGTTATAGCATCATGTATAGATCTAGAACACTTCCCTTGCAAAATGGAATACCAGCTCTATTAAATAATAGCATCAATTCCCTTGGAATTTGTTACCTACTCACATGAACAAATCATGATTTTACATCCCCTCTCTTCTTCCTCTATATCTCATGAACAAATCATGATTTTACATCCCCTCTCATCTTCCTCTATATCTGCAAAAGTTTGTTTTTACATTTTTGAGATCCTTAGCAAAAACTTCTTAACCTTTCCTAACTCTAATTACAGTGCAAGGGTTTTGGCAACAATACTTTGATTTCTGTACATTGATACATTTACAAAATTATGCTAGTTTCCCTCTCAACAGAAGTTACTGGATTAACCAAGTTCATTCAACCTGCTATGTCAGACTAATTAAAGACAAATAGCTATAATAAAAACATTTACTAATGTTTTTGGCACACATATTAGCAGGTTTCATAATCCCTTATTATATCACCTGCTGTGAACAAGTGCTCAGAATAGGGAAAAAAAAATTCAATCTGCAAGGATGCAAATTTTTAAAAATCTCATTAAAAACATTTATACTCTCTGGAAAGGAGGGAGAAAAGGATTTAGTGAAATATAGATGATATAAAAACAAACAAAAAAACCCTTTATTTCTAATAAAACAACATACACATCACTAAAACAATTTGATACAAGCTAATGTCGGACTAAAAATAAATATCATGTATTGAGTTACGAATCTCACATAAGAGAAGTTCACGTTCTTTAAAAAAAAAAAAAACAGTGTATAGAGGGCAGCTAAGTGGCGCAGGGGATAGAGCTCCAGCCTTGAAGTCAAGAGGACCTGAGTTTAAATCCAGCCTCAGACACTTGACACTTACTAGCCATATGACCCTGAGCGAGTCACTTAACACCAGATGCCTCAAAAAAAAAGCCAAAAAATCTGGTGTGCAACTTTTATATGTGCTGGCATAAAAAGGGTACAAAAGTGTACATAAAACAAAGGAAAAAGGGGCATTTTCTAACCATAAAAGATTTCTTACTATGTAAAATACCAAAAATTAAAAATAAATAACTTATCAAAAGGAAAGGATAGCACATGCCTGTACTTGTACACGTATCCCTGTCAAACATTTTGGATCCTAAATTGAGATCTGTTAATATAACCAACCCATGAAGAAGATGTAGCCAAAAGGATTATGAAGACATAGGCATTTCTAAAGCTGAACATTAAGGTCCTACGGCCACAATATATCTCTTCTCTCTGTCTCTGTCTCTCTCAAATGGTCCTCAATCCTGGTTGGATTTCATTTCTACATTGAGAGTGGGAAAGTGATATGAGGTTGTTAAGTGACACTATCCCCAGACAAATGGTCTCCTATGTGGGGGTACGGGCAGAGGGTGCTACACATTGTCAATAGGCTGTGGCATAATCTCAAGGGTAACCAAAGTGAATTCACAATAATATACAAAAAAAAAACTCCATCCCCATCTCTCCCTTTACACATTATCATTACCCAATATTCTCCCCACTCTCTTACACTGCTTCTGGACTCCAGTAGATGTGCAAAGTCACAGTTTTTCCCATTCCACTCTAGATACAGGCCCTTCAGGTCATTTATAATGTAAGCAAGACTCAGACACCCACAAAAGCAGCTGCATAGACAAAACTGCCCTACCTCCAACATATCCACACCTTGATTCCCAAGATCACCCCATGGATGTGGCAGGCACCACTGAATAAATGTTCTGCCTCCCCTACTTGTTTTTAGGGGGATAATAGTCATACAGGATAAGTAGGTATGGATGGGTTATGCTTTGCATCATAGATTTCATTACATTATCTTTCCCATACAACCCAAACTTCCTCATTTCTGTCAAAGGCACTTCCTTCCAAATACCTAGATTCACAATTTCAGTCATCCTCTAATGCTCACTCTACTCTCATTTGCCCTACATATGCTAGTTGCTAAGTTGGATTGATTTTACTTCCATAAACTCTCTTGCATTAATCCCTTTTTTCCCTCACTTACAGAGCTACTGGACTACTTCAGAACCTCTAGATTGGATTACTGCAATAGCTTTCTAATTGGTCGCCCGACTGAAGTCTCACCTGTCTCCTATTCATTTCCCCATGTAGCTGTGTCAGTGATTTTCCTCAAGCAAAGTCTTTGCCATGTCATTTGCCTACTCAATACAGTCTGTTGATTCCTACTAACTGTAGAACATATGATCTCATCTTTATTTCATTTTTTAAATTTTTATAAGTTTCATAATAGATATAATTATTAATATGGTGGTATATGTATATAAAATGTAAAGAAGTAAATATACATATATTGGGATATGGGTGCTCAAAAAGCTTTAACTAGTAGGGACGTGAAATAAAAAGCTACTGCTTCAGACCACCAACAAACATTAGACTATTTTCAAAAGTGAGATGCTTTTGAAGCATACTATTTGCTCTTTTTTCTTCTGTTTTGTTTTGTTTCGTTTCTTCTTTCTTGTGGTTCCTCCTATTGGTTCTATTTCTTCTTTACAACATGACTTATGTGAAAATATGTTTAATAGGAATTTTTTTGTAGAGTCTATATCAGGTTACACACCATCTTGGGAAGGGAAGTAAGGATGGAGGGGGAGAAAATTTAAAACTCAAAAGCTTATGGAAGTGAATGCTGAAAACTAAAAATAAATTAATTTTTAAAAATTCCTATAATTTAAAAAAAAGACAAAACAAGATCCTTGTCCAACAGCCAATGAGGACTATTTTCAAAAATGAGACCCTTGTCCAACAGCCAATGAATTCATACTCTGCTACAAGGACCACAAAGACAATGAACCTGCAGTCAAAAGATGTGGATTCAAATCCCATGTCTCTTCTATTTATTACCTGTATGGCTGTGGGCAAGTCACTTCCACTCTCTGGGCTTCAGTTTCATCATCTGTAAAATGAGAAGGGTGGACTAGCTGGATAATTTTCCTCCTGGCTCTAAATTCTATGATCCTATATAGATATTTTTTGCTATAAATAAAATGGGAAGATATAAGATTTCACAGCTAAACAGAAGGACAGCATACAGGTCCTATGTGGGAAGGAAACTGAAGGTGGTAAAGTAGATTTTGTTGTTTTCTAAAGGTCATCAAAAAACAAAACTTAATCAGACACTTGTTCATTTTACTGTCTTACAAGAAGCTTAGGCAAGGGAAACACATAAAGAGAACTGCAAGCTTATGTACCACCATCTGTTAGAGAGGATGAATGAATGAAAAAACACAGACAGAGCACTACACATGCCAAATACTGAGCTAAGCACCAGGCTGCTAAGATGAAAGCTAAGATAGTCCCTGCCATTAAAGAGATTTCACTCTGATGTGAGGTGAGGGAGAGAGGGGAGTGTTACAAGAAGTATATGCACATAGTGGCTAGGCAAATACTAAAAAATGGCCACAGGTTTAAGTGAAGCAAAGCTGAGGCTAGTCCTAGATGTGGTGGGAGACAAAGGTAACCACTATTTAAAATAGTGGAGGCCCCAGAATTGAAATTTCTGGTGAGAGAATGAATTGCTCTAGGATATGGTTATTTAGTCCAGGTAGCAAGAAAATTCTACAAAGAAGATAACCAGAGCATCTAAATGAAATCAATATATACCCTTTGTACTTGGTGACTTCTACATGAAATCAGACATGACAGACAACAATAAATGTTGGGAAAAAAATGAGCATTAACAAAAGTAGTCAAAGGTTGTAGACCACTCAGAAGTCCCATTATTGTAGATTATGAATACTTTCTTAAAAAAACTTTGAAAGTACTAGATAAACTCAAAAATACTGGTTACTGATTTGGGCATCATTCGGCTGTGTTTTGTCAGATCAAAATTAACATCAAATCAGAAGGATAAAGAAATGTCATTCCACATAATTATAAAAGATCTAATCTAACCATCTACATAAGCTCTGGAATATGAAAAACAGGAAATGGATACAAGTAAAGATTCACTACAAAGATCCTAAATAAGAGAGAGCCTAGAATTTGTCTATATATATACACTTGATCTCCTTGACAAGGAGTCATAACAACCAAGAGTACTTCATTTGAAAAAGTAAATTCATTTGCAAACATTATGGTGGAAGACGATGATTAAAAGGAAGATCACACAAAATAACATAAAGCAGTAGAGGAGAAAAGTAAATCTACAGAGATCTGATTGAGACTCGAGTAAACCAGACCATTCTAAGAATATTCAGAAATGAAATTGGAAAAAGAACAACAAATAAATATGAAACAAAGCATGTATCAGAATTTCTATAGTGATTCACTCTATCACATCAATGACAGTGGAACATTTAGTACATAGTGGAACATTTAGAACATAGTACATTTCGTACTACATGTACCATATAAGAAAGCATGAATGATACTCAAGAAAATGAAGTTGAAAGTAGCCATACCTGACTGAATACCAAAGAAAATCACGCTAAGCACAACAAAAACCTCCAAGAAGGGAAAACTGAAAAAGAATATAGTTGATATTGCCAAATCATGGTGAACAAAAAGATGAGGAACTACCACAAAATACTCCTGATTTACCATTGCTAGGGAATCTTTGTGAGAATGGTTAATGATTCATTGACAGTATCCTTGATGAAAATATGTAAAGGTCAAAAGCAAGCCTCTGCTGAAGTTCTCTTCAGTGTCATACAATTCACTGTTAAGAACACAGAGAATACAAAATCAATGATCCTCTGATTATCAATATGAAGAAAGGCATTAAGTAGGAAGGCATGTTTCTGCATATTTCTGTATGAGTATCTTTGAGGATTTCCCGTACAAAGTCTAAATGGAAAAGATATTTCTCTTAGATGATGATTTTCTCTCTAAAAGCTGTTTTCAGGTAGCATTATGCTGGTAGCACTGAACAAAGAAACATTAAAGAATCTTAATGAAATTTACATGAAAGTTACTACTAAGTAAAAAAAAAATAATCCACATAAGTCAAGTAGATATAAACTGAGTTAACCTGAGTGTATACGGATATTCTCATTCTCTCTCTATCTCTCTGTGTCACACACACACACACACAAACACACCCAAATGTGCTATTTCCAAAACTGAACAGAAGAGGGAGAATGAATTAAGTGGCATTTAGGAAATTACATGGAACTTTTAATGTGAAGCTGTTTCCTACCCCTCCAAACATATCATTTTAACATCCATATTCAACATTACTGTCCCAGAAAAAAAAAAGAAAATTTCAGTTGGCACAGAACAATGGAAAAATATACAGTGGGTGTAAAATAGATACATTATCAAGGATGGTTTGAGCACAAGAAGTGCACATCATCAAATACATGAATGATTAGAAAAGGAGGTAAAAGCCAATTCTACAGCAAACACATGAGATAGGGAAAAACAGTGTAAAAACCCAGTGGAGGCACATGGCACATGAGTATACATTCTATGAAGGACAAATGGAAGGTTGTGGATAGGAATCACACAGGATAAGAAGGCATGGAAGTGTTGCACCTTGTACTGGTGAAGAGAATATTCCAACTTATAAGAACACGGATATATCAAGCCAGTGAATGTAACAAGTATCTACTAACTATAATTCCACTAAGCATATGACGGTAGACTTAATTTTTTCATTAAATCCTTTTTTCATGTTGTCGTTTTGTTAATTGTTCACGCTTTTAAAGAGGCATCATGCCACAGGAGAATGTTAGATTTTAAGTCAGATATCAGGATTCTAATCCTAGCCCTGCCACTAAATACCTATAGAACCTCGGGCAAATCCCTTTACTTTACGCCTCAAGTTCTCCTCTGTAAAAGGAAAGGGCTGGATCAGATGACTTCTATGGAATCTTCCACCTCTACATCTGTGAACCTAAGAACTATGTTCAAACCATCTTAAGAATACAAATCTATTACTGTCATAGCTTAATGATAGAAATATAAAAGGGAAAAATAGATGTAGGATGGAAAATGAGCACAAAGTCAAGAGCTTATGCCATGTATTTACTTGACTGAGAATCTTTAAATAACTTTCACCTGTTAGGATTTTGCATTAAAAATAAACTATAAAATATTAATTAAAAATTAACTATAAAACATTATAATCCTGTTTAAGTTACTTTAATAGCCTTGTCTAGTTCAATAATGAAGTACAATTAAAATGGACATCTAATAAATATTATTAGTACTCTATAAATTAACTGATTAAACAAATGCTATGGAACCACAAATTCAAAAAGTGTTTTCCTTCACATTTCAATATTTTAGTCATAAGAAAAAATATGGGTAAATTATGGAGAAGGCTGATTAGGAGGGAAAAAAAAGAGACTAACTAGTATAGATGCAGATGAAATTATATGTATAAGAAATGAGGTATTAATTTCTTTAAACTGAATAGAGGATCTAAGTAATTCAAATGCCAAGCCTTCAAAAAGCAAATTTTAAAAAGCAAAGCACTAAGTTAAGTGACAGCAGTGCTTCAGATTATATACTATGTGAATGAGTTCACTAAGGTTTTGCTATTTTCAGGTGTAACAGCAAATGTAATTGATAACATACATAATAAGTAAATGAAATAAGGAGTTTGACCTCATTTTAAAATTATAGTAATGCAGTTTCCTCAGAATATTTATAATGTTCATCATCTGATAGTGAGGCAAATTTATACTGGCTCCCTTCTTAACAACATTTTTAATCTTATAATTCTTTGATAGGGTTGTTTATCTGCCAAGAAGAAATGTACTGTCTTTCTATAAAAAAGCAGTAAGTGGGCAGCTAGGTGGTGCAGTGGATAGAGCACTGGCCCTGAAGTCAGGAGTACCTGAGTTCAAATACGGCCTCAGACCAAACATTTGACACTTACTAGCTGTGTGACCCTGGGCAAGTCACTTAACCCCAACTGCCTAAAAAAAAAATAAAAATAAAATAAAAATAAAAAAAGCAGTAAGAAAGTTTATCATTTTCATATGAATTTGAGGCAATCACCACATTGAAGTTTAAATGTTTTAATAAGGGTTATTTCTGGAAAGTGAAAATAATTACTACCATAAAATACACTGGAATATTTGATATAGCAATAAAATTAGTAAGAAAATAGGGTTAAGAAGGCCATTTACAGATTTAATTAATAATACTCCCAAAGCAAATCTACAAAACTTTGACTATTACATACACATTTAAACTCACCTACATTCTTTCCTAATTTCTTTTTCTGTATCTTCTAACTCAAGGCCTATTGCTAACAAATATAATGGTATCTCCTGTGTTCATTTTACAGGAACTGGACTGTTGTGAATATATGACATCTGAAGAACTTTAAAAATATTAATCACCTATCACAATTTTCCATTGTTTTTGGTTTCTGCTTCTCTTTATTCCTAACTCATTTTTTTGTAAACAAATGCATTCCAGGAACATGGACTTATGTTAAATTTCTTTAATGTGAATACTTTCACTACTGACAACCGTTAAAAAAAAAATCTAGAGAATTCTGTAGAAAAATATCTGTACTACAGAATCCTACAGCTGCAAAAAACATCAAGATTATCATCTGGTTAAGCCTTTAGGTCAGGTATCATCATCTCTCTCTTACATACAAGGTAACTAAGGTCCAGAGCAGGTGAGTGAGTTATATAAAGTCACTTAAGTATTGAATGGTGGAAATGAGACTTAGAACCAAGGTTGCTCAGCTCCTAATTCAATGTCATTTTCACTGTTCTACAATAACTCAAACTGAAAAGATGATGAATAGGTCCACTGTGGCTGTCCCTAAGATATCATCTCCATTATTGTTTCCCTCTACAATTTCTTAGGTCAAAGGAAAGTCTCCCCTGCTTATTAAAACTGACATAGTCACTAAAGATGAATACCATTGTTTTGGGGGGTCTGCCTAGTGGGAAGGAAATAAAATTCATTAGTGGGAATTCCTAGGACCAGCCTGACTCTATAGATTCTTGAATATAGTCCTTTTATTTTTTTTTTTAGGGATGGAGGAATATTTATCATGGTTAGAAGAACTAAGCTCCAATATTATATTTCTACAACTGATATAACTACCTACTAACATAAAAATTATTTACATTTGAAGCTTTAGGTTCTGTAAAAATCAGTAAGCCCAACTGTTTCAATTTTATAAATTCGAAATTCTACAACACAAATGTTTTAAAATTAAAGGTGTCTAAAGTGAAAAGGAATTTGCAAAAGTTATCAAAACTGATAAAAAAAAGATCACCCACATGATATGCATTCTGTTAAACCAGTGGGAAAAATATTTCGGCTTTATTTACCATCAAAACCAATTGATAAGCAAATAGTATATTTACATGAAGTACTTAAAGATTCTTTATACACAATAATAAGCAAAAACTATTCAAACTTCAATTTGAAATACCCAGGACCATTAAGTATGTTCTATAATATTTCACTGTTTTCTATTTGCATACATACCAACTGTTTTCTGTCGAACTATACTTCTTGCCTTTTCAGTGCCTGGAGATCCAGTAGTGGTTGCACTTCGCTGTCTCATTGGGGCTTGTCCAGGTTGATCACGGCTCCATCCTTTGGAAAAGGACTTGTCAACAGATGCCTTCTGGAACTCATGCCCAACTCCTAGAAACATATTTTCAATCTCTCAATTTATCATCAATTGAAAAAACAAATGTTCAAATTTCATGTGACTCAAATAAACAGAAAGATCATCACATGTTATGCTGCAAGATAAAATGTCATGTACTGTCAATATAAGGTTTCCTTGTGCTAGACCCTCCCCCACCAAAAGCAATATTTTAAAGATAAACAATTTTATTAGTATACTTAACTCCCTCCCCCAGTGAAGATTATACTCTCCTCTAAAATTGGAAGAGGGGGATAGAATGAGGGAGGGAGGGAAGAATGGAGGAAGGAAGGAAGAAAAGCAAGAAGGCAGAAAGGAAGGGACAATTGTGAAGGAAGAGAAAAAATAATCACAATCTTGTTTTTATGTTTGTCTAACTTGTGTCAGAAACAGAAGGAGATTACAACTATCTCTGCATTGCCATAATGATTCCTAAGGATATCAAAGCCCTAGGAAAAGGTACTTAGCTACTTGATTTTACAAACTGGGTAAATATTTCTTTCAAAATGACCACTCTGTCATCAGGAATTGGGAATTATTCGATTATTTTTATGTAAAATGTTCAATTTTTTTTGGAAAATTAAGTAAACTGAATAAATTAAATGCTTTAGAAGTGAATTTTTTTCAAATAAGTCTTCACAGGACTTACTGGTAAGATGCCACCTAAATAGGAGGCAAGCTGCCCTGCTCACGTACAAGAACTCCAGCAAAATTCTGAATTTTGCACCAATATGAATAATGATCAAGAAATGCAATGAGAAAACACAGTTCTACCTCAGAACTACACAAAAAGATGGGTAGAAACCGCCTGTGAAATAGGAAAAAGCAAGCAAAGCTACTGTCAGTGTGACCAAAGATTAAAACTGCATTGTAAGAAATAACAAAAGCCAAGTTGAGGGAATCCTGGAGAAGTGTCAACTGATGCAGACTGAAATGAGAAGAACCAGAACAGTTTATACAACAATAATACTATTGTAAAGAAAAAAAACTTTAAAAGACTTAATAACTCTGATCAATACATGTTTCGGGAGCACCTATGATGAAGCATATTAATCACCTCCTGACACAAAAGTGGACACAAGGTTAAGAGACATTCATTTTTGGGGAACGGTCACTAAATAAATTTGTTTTGCTTAACTATACTTACTTCTTAGAAGAGGTTTTTATTTTCTTCCCTTTCAGTTAAGTGGGGGGAGCAATAGTGATGCCCCTACCCCAAAATAGGGCCATTGAAATACTTTACACATTCTCTCTCTGCTCTGCTCCTGACTTTCCAGATTTTTCTACCTCTAATTCCAGCTGTCTTCTTATTCTGGAAATGCCTCTTATCCCTCCCCCAATTGGTAAGCTTCCACCAGGATCGCCATTTAAGGAGGTACCCACGCCAGCCTTGTTTACTTTTCTATTTAATCTGCTCCCAACTCTTCAGATTTTTACACTTTATGCCCTTGGCAAGCACCTATCCTACTGTCCCCCAACTTGCCTCTACATACTTTTCAACTCTCTTTAATGGATTATCTTTCTCCCATTAGAACATAAGCTCCTTGGGAGTACCAACTGCTCCAGCTGCCTGGAGCATAGTATGCATTTAATGTTCTATCTTTAAAAATACACAGAAGAGAACAAAAGACAGTCCAAAAGGAAGCATAAACAAGGACAGTTTTGAAGATTAACATGAAGAATTTATTAAGATGTTTAAGTTTTATATAAAGTCTTCTTTTGTGTTCTATATGTATGATATGGTCTTTTTTTTAATATTTAAGTTCAAATAAAAAAAATCTTTGATATATTAGCAAATTATCCTTCCTCAATCCTAAGAGGGGATTGTTTAGACATGCTTAATGTAATAACAATTATCAGGAATACAAAATATAACAAAAGGAATCATAGTCTAAGAGCTGGAAGGGTCATCAAAGGACATCTAAGTCCAATCCCCTCATTTTACAGATGAGGAAACACACAGATTTAAGAAACTTGAGTGACCTGCCCAAAGTCACACAGCTAGTTAAGTATCAGAGGCAGAACTTAAACTTGAAATATTAACAAAAATAAAAACAAAAATATCAACAAAAAAAAATTAACAAAAAAATATTCTTACTACATTCAGTATGACTAAAACAAAAAAGCCACTTTAGCCAACTAAAATCTCCCAGATTATAGGAAAGATTTTGATGTAAAACCTTTTTTGATTTTCAGTTCATTCCTATTTCATGTTATCAGGTTTTGTTTCTCTTTGCTTTAAACAAAGAGTCTAGTAATGCAAAAATATTTTGTTTTTTAAAATTTGTTTTTAAAATAATATGGCCTTCAGATCCTGCTGGCAGAAAGACAAGTAGCTTTGAGGGAGAATCTATTTTTCCTACTGAGTAAGGCAACTTAGAATATCTTTCTTACCTTTGCCTTTGTGCTTTTTCTGTTTCTGTTCACTTAGCTTATCCAGTGGTAAATCATTTAGGTCCAAGGTATATAAATTTCTAGCTAAGACTTTAGTTAGTGTCTCCATAGTCAATGACCACTCGGTAGCCAACTCTTCCCAATATGTGAGTGATGACAGCACAGAGAGCAAGTCATCCCAAAGCTCCCGGGAGATATACACATTTAGATTTGCTTTGATCCAGGCTACTATAAGAGTCTAAAAAACAGTCAAAATCAACAATTAAGTATACTGAGAGCAGCTTGTAACTTTAGAATGATAGATATTCAAGTAGCAATTATTCATCTAAAAACAATTAAATTTTGATTACTTTTTACCTGGTAATTATTTGTGGGAGCCAGGGGGGTAGAGGGGATATGACTGGTATACTCTTTATGAGTAAAATGCCCATCATGAACATTTTCAATAATAAAGTTATTCCCTTTTTTACCACAATCAATACTGGCACATTGCCAATACTGAAATGTTATTTCTTTGATGGGGCAAGTTTTTACCCTTCATTCAATCATTCACAAATTTGAAAAGAATTCACATTGTATAAAAGATAATTAAATACTTCGTGATATTTCTATATAAAATGAAGAGTAAACTCTCCATAGAAAATTTCTATTTCAAATTTATTAAGAGCTATATTCATGGCTGTCTAACGAATAAAACTTATAACATACACACTCATATCTGAATTATCCTTTTTTAAGTTTATGCTTTTATATATCTAACAAGTATATATGATACGTATAGTATACACGTATGCTATATATACACTATGCTAAAAAATAAATCAAATATGAAAGCTCAGATTTGCAGAATAAATGGCAAAAATGGGGGTATAAATATATGTGTGTATACATGTGTATATATAACACACGTATATACATGTGTGTATGTTTGTGTATATATACACTTGTGTACACTACACGTATATTTCTAAAATTTAATCTTACATATATTTCACTGTATGATCTTCACATATATTGTAAACCTTTAGAGTAAGCATGGATTTAAGCAATGAGCTTAGTTTTAAAATGACACATGAACAACGGATTATTTATAGTAACTGTTAGGTATTGTTGAACATATACAATAACAAAACATTTAAAATGCAACCATGGAAAGATGTTTTACTTCAAAGAATTTTAAATCATTTCAAGAGGGGTTTGGATATACATTTTGCCCAGGTTTAAAAGACGTATTCAAAAATAGTTTGGCGTGTAAGACTTTTTTCCCCCCAGATAAAACCTAATTTAATGTCAATGGTTATATAAACAGTGAGAACTAGAAGATCTGTACTACAGAAAAATTTTACTTGACATGATCACTCTACTTTGGAAGATTTGCGTTCATTGTATGAATTAATCCTGGCATCTTGCAATAGTTAGGCTTCAGTTGGTTATTTTTTATTGAAAATACATAGGTAAGGGGCAGCTAGGTGGCTCAGTGGATAGAGCACCAGCCCTGGACTCAGGAGGCCCTGAGTTCAAATCCGGCCTCACACACATGATACTCACTAGCTGTGTGACCCTGGGTAAGTCACTTAACCTCAACTGCCTAGCTAAAAAAAAAAATACATAGGCAAACAAAACATCATTCCACAATTTATAATTCTAGCATGACTAAGCAACAATTTATACTACAAATTAAATACTGTGGAAGCATATTAAAAAACCTTTTATGTTTCAACCAAGAATATAAAGGAATAAATATTCCTCTAAAGTCCTTTTTAGACTTTTCCCTTTAATAAAGCATGTTAAAAAGTCAAGAATAAAAAACTAAGATTCTGGAAAATGGATTAAGGGTGATAACCAAATTCAGAGCAAGAAATACCTCTTGTCTAGTTAAGATCATTGCCTTCTCCATCCCCAGAAAGGATTAGTTATGATCCACCTAAGGACAGTATCTTTACTCCCCATTCTGAAGAGATAAGGAATTTGATTAGAAGGAAGTCCATTTGATTATTATCAAAAAGCCTGTGAGGGAGAGGTCAAAAAGTGAGAAGTAATCTTAGAAGGACGATTGTCCAGGAACATTCTGGAAAAATTCAGTGACTACTGTTGGAGTAAAACATTAACCCAAAACCATGTTTTTTTCAAGATTCCTATAAATGTTCCTTCAAAAAGTCTTGTGTGGGAAAAATGTCGGAGGACATGAAGGAACTTTGCTAGTTTGGACATTAGATAGATTTATGTCTAAAAGATGAATCCATTATCAATTTTTTTTTCTTCAACAATGGTAAGCAAGAATCTTGAAGGTAACTATTTGAGTGGAGGTACTTTTAAGAAAAAAGTATTTCCTTATAATCTTGGGTATTTGGAAATATTGAAACAATAACAGCAGCATTACTTATACAATCTTGTATTGCTTTTCCAATAATTCACAAAAAAGTCAGTTATTACAATTAAGATGATGATAACTTTTTTGTTTAAGCTACAATTTCAACACGGAGCTCTTTACTTTTTTTTTTTTGGGTGAGGCAACTGGGGTTAAGTTATTTGCCCAGAGTTACATACCTCATAAGTGTTATGTGTCTGAGGCCAGATTTGAACTCAGGTTCTCATGAATCCAGGGCCAGTGCTCTACCCACTGTGCCAACTGGCTGCTCCCAAATTTTTTTTTTGTGAGACAACTGGGGTTAAGTGACTTGCCTGGAGTCACACAACTAGTGAGTGTTAAGTGTCTGAGGCTGCATTTGAACTCAAGCCCTTCTGATTCTGGGGCCAGTGCTCTATCTGCTGCATCACACAGCTGCCCCTTTAAATGGTGTCTTCCACATTAAAACTTTCTCAAATGACATTAAAATGCCGTTTAGAAGAAAAAAAATGTATTGCCTGAAAAAGAGGTCCTGCAAGTCGACCCGCTAGGGTCATATTTTTTCTTCCTTGGTATTGCAGAAAAATTTGTGATGGCATCTTCAGAACAGATTCTGTGACTCTGAGCAATACAAGCAGCATCTGTTCCCTAAAAGGAAAAAAAGAAATATTAACGTTTCCTGCTTATGAAGATTTACTTTTGTTTAATATTTAACCTTTCAAATTGAATATATCTGATTTCAAGAATAATGCTATGGAAGTAGACAGGTGGTAGATAGATCTAGTTTGGGGCTTGGAGTCAGAAAGATTTAAGTTCAGATCCTGTCTCATTTACTCACTAGCTGTATGATTCTGGGCAAGTCATTTAACACACTTTGTCTCAGTTTCCTTACAAGCTTGTTAAGAGGACCAAATGAGATAATAAGTAAAGCACTCTGTAAACCTCAAGTGCTATACAAAAATTAACTTATTAATTAGTGTCCATGCTACCAAGAACATGACACTATCCTATTTACTTCTGTAAGTTCTCAAATTGTACCAATAAATTGTGAGAAAGAGGGAACAACAGAGTTTAAAGTTAGAGGCTTAAAGCTAGCCTAGCAATTAACTTCAATTCTCTATCATGACCCCTTTTTTCTCTACTGTAGGTTAAACTCTAGTAAACATGTATGGGAAGTAGTGAAGCATTTGTCAGAGGCAGAACCAGGTCTTAGTTTTGGCTATCAAGATTTTCTTGCAAAACAAGAAGCATGAACTAGAGATAAAAATAATAATAATAATTATAAAGAATTATATTTACAAATGGACAGTGACAAAACAGAACTATATGCCTTATAAAGTTAATTACAAAGATAATGACAAAATCTTCTAGTTTAACATTTCGTCTTTTTTGGTTAAATTACATATTGCCCAGGTACTAGTCAAAATTTCCAATATGCACTATAGTAGAACATGTCCATATTTAAGAAAAACAGTTCAATGCAGACAAGTGTGAATTTTTTAATGCTAATCAGGTATTTTATGGAACTGATTAAAGACACCAAAAATTCCTAACTAAATCATTACATCACAACTTGCCTCTCACCCCAAATCTGGTTCAATATCTAAAATCTGATACAGAGAGGCTGGAACATGAAGAAATAATTGGAGAGGTGAATAATTTTTTAGTGCTCAAATATTGTTAAAGGAGATTCTCAAAATAAGTATGTTTATTCCCCTTACAAATGATACATATTTCTATAGACATTAAAAACATACAAAAGATAATGGAACTTTTTACCAAGTCTTCTTATCCATTGATATTTGCACAACCATGAATCGATAAATATTAAGAATACGTTTACACATATCTGTGTGCTCATCCAAAAGACTTTTAATTTCATTTGCAGGTTCAAGAAGAAATATATTTGATGAGTTGACTATAAAAACCTAGAAGAAAAAATGAATGTACAAATAAAAAATTACAATATATGCTGATAATGGAATTTAAGTTGCAGGGTAATAAATGTTACTAAACAAATTAAAGTCATTACCCATTAAATTCACAAGGCTAAGTATAAGTTTAGAGTTCTTTTGTAAAAATAAGGAGATGCTTAAGATACTTCTCACAAAGATACCATCTTATTTCATACTATTATCCCCACTCATTTAAGATGATAGCTTCCAAATTATTCTCCCTGTTTCAAGCATCCCTGTTCCAATCCTACCTCCATACAGGTGCCAAAATTACTTTCCTTAAGCAGAAATCTGACAATGTCACTCTCCAGCTCAATAACTCCAGCAGCTCTTTCCTATTAGTTTTGAAAGCCTTTCAAAACTTAGCCCTTATCCTAATATCTGCCTAATACATTACTTCTCTGCCAGCACTGCACGTTCCAGCCAAACTGGACATACTCTGTTCCTTACCAACACCATGGCATTTCATCTTTCCTTTCCATGTTTTTGCACTGATTGTCTCTAATGTCTAGAATGTACTTGCTCCTCAACTCTGCCCCAAAGAATCTCTAAGTTTCTTCAAGGCACAGCTTAACTATCATTTTCAACATGATTCCTTTCCAGATTCCTCTTCTCCCCCATACCCACAGCAAAACAAAAATAAAACAACAAAAAACAAAACAAAACCTGCTAGTGCCCTCACTTGCTACCTTGTATATTAAAACTACTTTATACTTATTTTATATTTATTTTGTATATCATGAAAGTTCTTGAGAGCAAAGATTATTTCATTCTTGTCTCTGTATTCCCGGCCCCACAGAAAGGCATTTAATAAATGCTTTGCTGTCTGACTCTATTTTTTATTTCATCTATACAATGAGAGCTGAACCAAATAATGGATATAGGTAATTTTATATACCAGGAGAAAAGCCAAAACAAGTTAGTTTGTTTTTAAAACAGAAGAGTTACAAAAGTTCTCACTTAGTTAAGCTTAAATAAAAGAATCATGATAATAATGTAATTTTAACTTTCAAGAATTATACATAAACGACACAGAATTTTCCGAAAAATGATAAAAAATGTCATATATATTCTATTCACCTCAACTCATCACAGGATTTTTGGAGTCAATCAGAATAGAGAGCACTATTATCCAAAATGGCACAATTAAGTTATTAATCGATAAAACTTTTAGAAAACCTTTACTGAGAGAAAAGATATTTGAAAAAATTAACCAGCAAAGGGACCTACCTGAAATACTAACTGGGCACCAGCTCGTATATTTTGGTCTGCATCCTCCATGTCAGAACCTTTATGGAGAGCATCTTGATAGGAGCCATTTTTTGTCCAATTGGAATTTCGGACATGACTAGATGATTTGGTCACTTTTTCCTGAAGCATAAAATAAATGTCTCAATCAAGAACTCTTAATTTAGCATATTACAGAAGTCAGATGTGCCATAGCAGCTCTATAGGCTCAACACATGAAACAAATAGAAAAAATACACAGAAGTGATAAAAATATGAAATTTATCAGGTTATGCTGAAAAACATGGACTACAAGAAAAAGTATTTAATTAATAGTTTCTATTGGAAAATGAGATATAGGATCAATTAGAGACAGCTAAAAGGACTGCCTGGCTACAGTGAAGACATATGTTGACGTAGGAGAACATACATTTACAATGTCCCAGTTATGTAATTATCCTTAAACTCCTTTCTGAGTATCTAAGCAGGCACAGAAAAGTCAGATGGTGGGAGTAATCCAGAGTTGAAGTCTGACAAGGGATGAGCTATAACAAGATAAAGAGATGAATAATTAGAGAGTAAAGGACAGTATAGGATTTAAGTGACTAACTAAATGGTTGAGACTGAGGAAGATATAAAGAGAAGTCTGAAAATGAGTGATCACCTGATTACTGAGAGGTAAGTACTAAGAGATGGAGGGAAGGGAGGTCTCAATGAGGGTAAAGAATAGGTTTAAAAGAGGTGAAGGCATAAAGTGAGATGGAATAATAAAATAAAGGAATGTCAGAGTTTTTGTTTAAAGAAGTAGAAAAAATGTGGGTCAATTAGTCAAGCAATAAGTATTTATTAAGCACGTATGAACAAAAATTGCTACTTGCTGGGGATTACAAAGAAAGGTAAAAAATAAGTCTCTGCTCTCAAGTGATAAGAATCTAGTGGGAAAGAAAATATGGAAACAATTATGTAAAAAACAATATAGACAGGACAAATTGGAGATACTTAATAGAGGAAAGGAACTAGCATTAAGGGGGATCAGAAAAGCACTCCCAGAGAAAGTAGGATTTTTAGCTAGGACTTGAAGCAATCCAGGAGGTAGAGATAAGGGAGAACACATTGTAAGAATGGAGGAAAGACAATAAAAATGCTCAATGTTGGGAGATGGAGTCTACTGTGGGAAAAACAAGAAGGAGGTCAATGTTACTAGATCATGGTACTTGGAGGGGAATACAGTATAAGAAGACTAAAAAGACAGGAGGGAAGTTAGGTTATAAAGGGCTGTAAATGCCAAACAGAGGATTTTATATTTGATCATAAATGTCACAGGGAGCTACAGGAGTTTACTGAAATGGTCAGATATGCACTTTAGGATTGGATTGGGCTGGATTGGAATGGTGGGTGATTGGAAGCAGAGAGAACAACCAACTGTATTGCAGTAGTACCAATGTAAGGTGATAAGGGCCTGCACTAAGATGGAGGCAGTGTCAGAGAATAGAAGGGGGAAGCGTATGACACATATCATGAAAGTAGACTCAATAGGACTTACCAACAGAATGGATATGGGGGATGAAAAAGTGTGAGGAGTTAATAATGACATCTAGGTTGTGAGAATAACAGAAAGAAAAGATGGTAGTACCCTTGACATTAATAGAGAGATGTGAAAGGAAGAAAAGACACTGAGTTCAGTTTCAGACATGCTGAGTTTAAGGCATCTATAAGACATTCTGTTTGAGCTGTCAACAGGAATTTTGAGATTTGGTATAGAGGTTATAAGAGGGGTGAGAACTGGACAAATTAATCTGGAAATCATCAGCATAGGTGACAGATGAGATCTCCAAGTGAAATAGGAATAGAAAGGAGAGCAGAGGAGAAGAAAATAGGAGAGAAGTTGACCTTTGGGAGCCACCCACACGGGCATGACATGGATGAAGACAAAGTAAAGGAAATTGAGAAAGAACAGCCAGACAGGTATGAGAAATAGGATAGAGTAGTGTCATAGAACCCTAGAGAGAAGATGAACAAAGTGTCAAAGTCTGCAGAAAGGTCATGGAGGATGAAGACAGAAAAAGACCATTAAACACAGCAAGTAAGAGATCACTGGTGAATTTGGAGACCAGTTTAAGTTGAATGATAAGCCCACTAGCTAAATTGTGGAGGGTTAATAAAACAATGGGAAAAAAGGAAGTGGAGGCACTGATTGTAGATAGCCTTCACAGATATGAAAGGATAGCTCACAGTGATGGATGGATCAAGTGAACATGCCAGAAAGCAGGAGGGAACCATCCAGTATAATGAGAAGATATTGAAATTCAAGTGAGAGAGTAGGGATGAGAGAGGCAGCAATCTACTGGAGAAGATGGGACAGAATGATCAAAAGTATGACGTCTGCAAGATTTAAGGAACCGGAGGAATGGGGAGGTTAGGAACTGTGAGGGAGCATCAATATGGATACTGAAGGCCCCAAATAAAAGGGCAGGAACCGAGGAGAGGTAAACAGTGAGCCAAATGTGAAACTCTTTGAGAAAGAAAAGGAAATAACATAAGGGGTTCCCAACAGCCACTATGATCTAGCAATAACAAAATCTCAGAAGCAATAATAAAAAGAATATTTAATTCAATTTTACAGTTATACATTTAGAAATATCTAAGTCAATCTACCAAAACATAATTAATAACTCTATAAATATTACTATAAAATGCTCCTTAAAGAAACATAGAGGGGACAGAATCAAGATGGCAGAGAGAAGCCAGAAAGTTGCCTGAGCTCTCTCTAGTTTCCCTCAGAAATAATGTTATACCAATCCTCTAAAAGAATTCTGGAAGTGAAAGAATCCACAAAAAGACAGAGTGAAATATTTTCCAGCCCAAGAAAACTTAGAAGGACTTCAGGGAAGGTCTGCTTCACTTGGATAAAAGGGGAGTGGAGCCTGAAGGCTCTTAGCTGCAGCACAGCTCAGCAACTGAGGCCCTGTGGTCCTGGCTCAGCAGTGGCACAGCAGGCCAGCCATGAGGCCTCTAACCCCAGCACAGCAGGCAAACTGAAATCCCTGGAACCTAGGGCACAACAGGCACAACTAGGCCAGGACACTCTAGGACAGTAGGCAAGCTGCCAGCACCTCAAGCCCTGGAGACACCTGCCCCCAGTACAAGAAGTTTGGGACAGTGCCCTCTGTGCCCCAGGAGCAGGGCTCAATTTTTTTAAAATGACCAAAAAACAGAAAAGAGCCCTGACCAAAGAAAGTTACTACAGTGACAGGGAAGATCCAAACACAAACTCAAAAGAGGACAACAATGTCAAAATGCCTACATGTGAAACATCAAAGGGGAAGATGAATTGGTCTCAAGCCCTAAAAGTCTTCTTAGAAGAGCTCAAAAAGAATTTTAAAAATCAAGTAAGACAGGTAGAAGACAAATTGGGAAAAGAAATGAGAAGTATGCAAGACAGAGTCAACAGCTTGGAAAAGGAAGGACAAAAGTTGACTGAAGAAAATAATTCCTTAAAAAATACAACTGTAAACTACTTGGTACTGGCTAAGAATTAAAGTGGTGGATCAGTGGAATAGGTTAGGTATACAAGACACAATATAGTCAATGACCATAATAATCTACTGTTAGATAAATCTAAATACTCCAGCTTCTGAGATAAGAACTCACTATGTGACAAAAACTGCTGGGAAAACTGGAAAACAGTATGCCAGAAATTAGGCACAGACCAACATCTTACACCCTATACCAAGATAAAGTCAAAATAGGTATATGATTTGATATAAAGGCTGATACTATAAACAAACTGGAAAAGCAAGGAATAGTTTACCTGTCAGATCTACGGAGAATGGAAGAATTTATGACAAAACAAGAGACAGAGAACATTATGAAATGCCCAACAGAAAATTTTGATTACATTAAATTGAAAAGTTTTTGCACAAACAAAGCCAATACAACCAAGGTTTGAAGAGAAGCAGAAACATGTAAACAATTTTTATTAGCCAGTGTCTCTGACAAAGGCCTCATTTCTAAAATATTAGAGAAATGAGTCAAATTTATAAGAATACAAGTCATTCCTCAATTGATAAATGGTGAAAGGATATGAACAGGCAGTTTTCAGATGAAGAAATTAAAGCCATCTATAGTCATGATGAAATGCTCTAAATCACTATTGATTAGAAAAATGCAAATCAAAACCACTCTGAGGTACCACATCACACCTATCAGATTGGCCAACATGACAAAACAGGAAAATAATAAATGTTGAAGAAGATGTGGTAAAAATTAGCACACTAATGCATTATTGGTGGAATTGACAAATGATCCAACCATTCTGGAGGGGCATTTGGAACCATGCCCAAAGGGCTATAAAAATGTACATACTCTTTGACCCAGCAACAGCACTTCTAGGGCTGTATCCCAAAGAGATCATACAACTGGGAAAAGGAACCACATGTACAAAAATATTTATAGCAGCTCTTTTTGCGGTGGCAAAGAATTGGAAATTGAGGGAATGCCCATCAGTTGAGGAATGGTTGAACAAGTTATGGTATATAAATGTAATGGAATGCTATTGTGCTATAAGAAATGATGAGCAGGTAGACTTCAGAAAAATCTGGAAAGACTTATATGAACTGATGCTGAGTGAAGTGAGCAGAACCAGGAGAACACTGTACACAGCAATAACCACATTGTGTGATGACTAACTTTCACAGATATGGCTCTTCTCAGCAATGCAAGGATCTAAGACAACTCCTGATGGAAAATGCTGTCCACATCCAGTGAAAGAACTATGTAGTCTGAATGAAGAATGAAGAATACTTTTTACTCTCTTTTGTTGTTGTTTTGTCTTCTTTCTCGTGGTTCCTCTCATTCTTTACAATATGACTAATGGGAAAATATGTTAAATATGTATGTATATGTAGAGCCTATACCAGATTGCATGCCCTCTTGGGGAGGGGGGACGAGAGGGAAGGAAAGAAAATTTAAAACTCAAAAGCTCATGGAAGTGAATGTTGAAAACTAAAAACACGTAAATCAGAAAAATACAACTGACCATATGAGGGGGAAAAAAAAAACCAGTGAAAAAAATAATTCCTTACAAATTAGAATTGGGCAAGTAGGAAGCTAATGATGCTATGACACATCAACAATCAGTCAAA